TTCCGCTAACAACAAAAAATATCATATGGCTCCATCCAAAACCATGGGAGCCAGAAATATGATCCTACAGTGTGAATGGAAGGTTGAGAAGAGAGCAATATTGGTGAATAGCACAAATGACAACATGAAACCAAAGAAATATGAGAATAAGACAAAGGTGAACTATGCAGATATTAAACTATTAGAGATCATAAGGAGCCCTGGTGGTGTGTGGGTTACACACTAGGCCGCTAGCCACAAGGTCCGCCTTACAAACCTACCAGTTGCTCCCAGAAGGAAGCTGCATGCTCTAGTAAAGATTTAAGGTCTCAGAAACCTATGAGTCGGTAACGATTTAAAGACAGTGATTGAATTGAGTCATTCAGAAAAAGCTCCACATTCGTATGAAAATTCTATTGCCCTTGCTGGTTGTTGATTCAATTTTGACTCACAGTAACCCTATAAACAAAACAAAACAAAACACTATGTAGTCCTGTGCCATTCTCACAATTGTTCCAAGATTTAAATCCATTACTGCAGCCACAGTGTCAACCCACTTTGTTGGGGGTCTTCCTCTTTCTCGCTGACCCTCTGGTTTGCCCACCATTATAGGCTTCTCTGTGAACTCTTCCCTCCTAACATGTTCAAAGTATGTCCAGAGTCTCAACAATCTCACTTCTAAGGAGCATTCTCAGGAGCACTCTGACTGATGTCATTTCATCTCCTCTTCTGAATCTGGTTTGAGTTTCTGGGAATGCACACTAGTGGTGCAGTGAATTAAGTATCAAGTTGCTAACTGGAAGGCTAGTGGGGCTCAATCCCACCAGTCACTCCATGGAATAAGGGAAAGCGGTCTGCTGCAGTGAAGATTTACAGTGTTGGAAAATCTATGTAGAAGTTCTACTCAGTCATACGATGTTGATATGAGTTGAATTTGACTTGACAGCAATGGGTTTAGTTTAGTTTCCATATGAATTTCCTGTTGAGGTACTGTTTCACCTGTTTTTATATGATATTCATAAAAATTTTACTTGTGTGTGATAATGATATTGTTTGATAATTTCCCAAATTCTGTCGAATTCTTTGGAATAGACATAAATATGGATCTCTTTCTGCCAGTTGAGCAGATACCAATCTTCCAAATTTTTAGCACTTCCAGCACTGTATCTTTTTTTTTTAATTGGGGGCTCATACAACTCATCACAATCCATACATACATTAATTGTATAAAGCACATCTGTACATTTGTTACCCTCATTATTTTTTTTTCTTTATTTTATTGGGGGCTGGTACATTTCTTATCACAGTCCATACATACATCCATTGAGTCAAGCACCTATGTACACCTGTTGCCCTCATCAATCTCAAACCATCTGCCCTCTACTTTAACCCTCAATATCATTTCTCGTTTTCCACCTCCCTCCCCTCTCCCCCCTCCCCCTGAACCCTTCATAATTCACAAATTATTATAGATTTGCCATAAGTTACCCTGTCCGACATCTCCCTCCGCCCTCTTCTCTGTTGTCCATTCCCCAGGGAGGAGGCTATACTTAGATTCTTGTAATTGGTTCCCCCCTTCTACGCCGCATTCCCTTCACCCTCCAGGCCTCGCCCATCTCACCGCTGGTCCTGGAGAAGTCATCTATCCTGGGTTCCCTGGGTTTCAAGTTGCTATCTGTACCAATGTACATCCTCTGGTCTAGCCACATTTGCAAGGCAGAATTGGGATCATGATATTGGGGGAGAGGAAGCATTAAAGAACTAGAGGAAAGTTTATGTTTCATCGTTGCTACCCTGCACCCTGACTGGCTCATCTCCTCCCAAAAAACCCTCAGCAGGGGGGTGTTCTGTTGCCATCCAATGGACTCTGAGTCTCCACTCTGCACTCACCCACCTTTACAATGACATGATTTCTTGTTCCTTGATGCCTGACACCCGATCCCTTCAACAGCTCATGGTCACACATACTGGTGTGCTTCTTCCATGTGGGCTTTGTTGCTTCTGAGCTAGTTGGCCGCTTGTTTATTTTACAGCTTTTAAGTCCTCAAATGCTATATCTTTTGATAGCCAGGCACCATCAGCTTTCTTCACCACCTTTGCTTAAGTACACCTTTTTTTTTTCAGTGATCATATCAGGAAGGTGGGCACCCACTGATCTGATTTTTAGTTCTTTGATGTCTGATAACTGGTCCTTTCTGCACCTCGTGGTCAGACAGGCTGGCTGCTTCTTCCATGTGGGCTTTGATGCTTCTCAGCTGGATGGCCGCTTGTTTATCCATTGTATCTTTTTTGAAATATCTCTATTTGTATTTGGTCGATTCTTGGCACCCTTCTTCTCTCCACTGCCTTCAGTACAGCTTGAATGTCTGCCTTCAGCACCACTGGTTCTTGATCATGTGCCATTTCCTGAAGTGAATGAACATCAACCAATTCTTTTCAACACAATGACTATTTCTTCCATCTTCTTTTGATACTTACTGCCCCATTTCATATTTTGCCCATAGAATCTTTCAGTGTTACAACTTGAGACCTGAATTTTTTTTCAGTTCTTTCTGCTTGAGAAACACATGATTCATTATAATATTTCACTTTGCCTTCTTGAACAGCTCTTTGAAATATTCTGATCAATTCTTTTACTTCTTCATCTTCTCCATTTGCTTTAGCTACTCTGTTCAAGAGCAAGTTTCAGAGTCCCTTCTGCTATCCATTTCTCTTTTCATTTTTCCTTTCTTCTCCCTTTAATGAACTTTTATTTTGCCTTCTTGATAATGTTCTTGATGTTATCCCACAACTCATTTGGCTTCATTCAGTGTTCAATGCAAGAAATCCATTCTTGAGATAGTCCCTAAATTCAGGTGGGATATACTCAAAGTCATGGGCTTGTTTTAATTTTCTTCAGCTTCAATTTTAACTTGTATACAAGCAATTGACGGTGTGTTCTGCAGTCTGTAACTCATCTTATTCTGACTGATGATACTGAGCTTATCCATCATCTCTTTCCACAGATGTAGTCAAATTGATTCCTTTCTGTTCCATCCAGTGAGGTCCATGTATTCACCATTTATATTTTTCAGGGAAAAAAATCATTCGCAATAAATAAGTTTGGGGTATACAGTGTGCTCTCCCTCATTATTTCCACCACCAAGGCAGTGTATTCTAAATACCTATTCTTTACTTCCAACGTTTACTTTCCAATCACTACTAAATATCAATCTTGATTGCAAGTTTGACCAATTTCAAACTGTATTAGTTAGTAAAATCTTCAATTTCTCCATCTTTGGCTTTCATGGTTAGTGCATACATTTGAACTATAGTCATATTAACCGGTCTTCCTTCAATGAAAAATTTAAGAGGAACAGCATTGTATTCATTGTCAAAAGGAACATTTCAAGATCTATCCTAAAATACAATGCTGTCAGTAATAAAACAATATTCATATGCCTACAAAGAAGACTAATCAGTTACATCTCACTGCCATCAAGTTAATGCCAACTCAAAGCAACCCTATAGGACAGGTAGAAATGCCCCTGTGAGTTTCCAAGACTGTAAGTCTTTATGGGAAAAGAAAGCCTTCTCTTTCTACCCCAGAGCAGCTGGTAATTTCAAACTGCACACCTTGCAGTTAGCAGCCCAGTGCATAACCACTAGGTCACCACTCAGTGAGTTCCATTAGGGTAAATATTTCTATATTGTTGGTTCACTGCAGCCCTAACACCAAAAGTACTATGCAGCCCATAACAGACACTCAGTTAATTGGTTAAATGGATGAATGAATATTTAATAAAAAAAAGGACTGAAAAACATCCTACATAAGTGCTTTTAAAACGACAAAGTAACACAATATATGATATATACCCAATTCAACACTCTGCCATCAAGTCAATTCCAACCCAAAGTGACCCATACAGGATTTCTGAAGCTGTAAATCTTTATGGGAATAAAGAACCTCATTTTTCTCCTATGGTTATTAACACATGGACTAAAAGGACACTCGCCAAAATTATACTGGAAGAGAACAATAAATTTTATCTGCAATTCTCTAATGTATATTTTACCTCATATACATGATAGCATATAAAGGCTTCTAAAGCACAGCAGCCTCTCTCTCATATACATGAACTAAAACTGGAAAATTGCTAACATATGTTAATCTAGAGAGAATAGTGCCCAAGCATTTTTTATTCTTTGTAATTTTATAACTTTATAAAGTTTATTAGGGAAATAACACTACTTTAATATCTCCTTGAATAAAGCTTCTCAAATCGTTCTACCTATATTATTTTAAGTGAACAACTCCTCCCAGGGATAGGAAGGGCATCTGGGAAATAATCCTAAGAAACTAAAAGAATTTTGATGTCTCACGCTTTAGCTTTAAAACTCTAGAGAATTTGGACTTTTCCCACAGTATTGCTGTTCTTACTTCAATATTAGAAAAATTCTCCAATTTTTCTTTCAAAATCTAGGTACAATCGACACTGTAAGGAAATATGCCTTGTTTATCCTATGGCTTCACTTATAGTCATCATACTGTAGAGCACCCCAGGTGAGAGAGGGCACAGCGCTGTTTACTATAGTCTAAAAAGAAACGCCAAAGAATAGCTGTACAGTTTCTTGTAAAATAAACTTAACAAACTCAGCACACAGAATAGGGAAGCTCTGAACTTCATCTTGACCTTGTCTCTGTGCCAGAAGCAACAGCTATATTTTCTACTCTATTACTAAACAAAAGCAAATTTTTCAACCCAATTATTACTAGAATGATTATAAGCCTTTCCCCCCTAAAACATAAAATTTTCTAAAAATCAAACTATGAGCAATGTATTTTTAAATATAATGCATTACAGAATACACTACCATACTACTAGTACTCTTAAAAATAAGGAAGAATAAGTAATACAAAAAGCCAAAGAAGATGAACATATCAACAGATATGTTCTTATTTAGTTAAAAAAGATTATATTAAATATGGACTCTTTAATTCTCAAAATAACAGAAACTTTAGATAATAAAAAACATCTTACCTTTTTGTTTTCATCTGGTCTCTCAGTTTGCTGTACATCTCCAAAACTTGAAAGAGAAGGGGGGTGGGGGAGAGAACACACATGCATTATTTAAAGAACGTGAAAGACTAATTAAAGCAAAAGGAATTGCATCAAGAGTCCTATTTGATTTCCAGTTCCTCACCTGGAAGACACAGCATTAATTTATCAACAGTGGCAGAAATATTTCTCTGTTGTAGTCGACACTGCTTCAGCTCTTCCATTGCGATTACCAGCTTGGCAAGAGGGAAAAAAACTGAATTATGCCAATAGCTGTAAATAAAAAGCTTTCAGTCACATTTTTCTACTCTGTGTTCAATTCATCAGAAAATCCCAGACAGTGCCATAGTAAGACCTGCCAAGTGGACTAAGGGACTGCCTTTCCTAACCAGTCAAGCATTTTTGCAGGTCTCCCCTTTCTCCCTAAGATACAACACTACTAAGAAAGGCTTGGCAAGATGAAATCCTAAAGTACAAAAAATGTCAAAGACAAAAGCAAAATATATACATATTTTCTCTAAACTCTATTCAGGCTCTTCATGATTTATGATTTCAACAATCTTGTAACATTCTCTATTGCTTTCATCAGTGCTAGACTCCTAAAGGAAAATAGTCAATCCTGCACAGTTTCAAGAGTCTTAAAAATGATCCCCAACTAATCTCTATTTCAACAAATAAAACCACACACTTAGAAGTTGTGGCTTTCTTAACAGTTCCAGTTTAGTAAAGAGTAACTCCCTTTTTTTCCATTTGAAGTTATCATACAATATAACTGGGAAAAACTGTATTCCCTGCATAAATTAGACTATGTGAGATCAACTTAAAAAGTAATAAAGTTCACGATCTCTTGTAGCATTCATACCATACCCACATCTCAAAATGCTCTCTGCTTAGATACCATGAAAGAAAGAATGGCCCTGATTAAGTCACTGATATAACAATTAAAGGCTAACTTTAAATATTATTAAAATGAATACTTTAATAAGTACTCGATGAAAAAGAAAATACACGATACGAGAACAGTCATCAACTAGAATTCGGAAAACCTAGGTATTAGTCCCAACCTTCCCAATTATTTACAATGTAAAACTTTAGCAAATCATCTGTTTAAGTTTCATAATCAATAAATAATAGCATTTTCCCTGACTTTCTCATATAAATATGAGAAATTTTTACTTTCTCAAGTAAAATATGGATATAATCATGTAACTGTGAAGTTTTAAGTAGAATCAATTATTCATTCATTCATTCATTCATATAGATGGATAGATAGATAGATGATAGATAGATAGATAGATAGATGATGATAGATAGATAGATAGATAGATAGATAGATAGATAGATAGATAGAAGCACAAACTCAGAAAAACAAAGGGTCAGTTAGTCAACTGTAACTCATGGCAACCCTATGGGACAGGGTAACACTGACCCTGTGGGTTTCCGAGGCTCTAGCTTGTTAGAGGAGGAGCCCTGCAGTTAGCAGCCCAACATGTAACCAGTGTAAGTAAGTATGTAAGTAAATAGAAGGTGTAGCAATAAATGAACAAGGAAAAGCCTCATGGAGAAATTACCAGACACAGGGAGAGTGATAAAAAATGTCAGTAAAAATAATATCAGAGCATGATAAGTACAGGTGAGAAAAATGCAGCAGGAAAGGGTAAAATGAAATGCATGGTTGAGAGGGAGCCAGTAATAACGTGGTTAAGAGCACACTAAAAAAGGTAACATTTGAGCAAAGTTCTCGAGAAAGCAGGCATTAAGGACAAAGCAGAGGGAATAGCATTGGCTAGATTATGATTAATCAGGTGACTTAAAAATACATTTAAGGAAGGCTACATCCCCTCAATAAATTTTCTAGTGTTCACTTCATTCAGATGCACATTTGAAGCAGCAGCAATAATATCCAAATTCCTCCAGCAAATGCTCACAGGCTTACAAAACACTAAACATTTTAAAAACCGAGAAAACCATCAAAATAGAATGATATGAAAAAGAAAAGATTTTTCAAAAGGTAAACTGGCCTTACTTCCTTTCCCTCATGTTGTAGTTTTCTATTAGTATCCATCACTTGGTTCTGTGGAGAGAAGACAATTTAAATTCATAAAAAACAAACATTTAGACAATCCAAAACTTTTTAAAATGAATTTCAATTTTTCATCACATTTATTGATGCAGTGGTATTCTTTGGGCTTAAATTATACAAACTTTTTCTACTAGAAATTTGAAAGACCTTTTGAACAATGAAAAGAAAATCTTACTAGAAGATATATTTGGTTTGGAGCACTTCAAACTAAAATATGACTGAAAATCAGACTTTAACTTTAGAAGAAAAGTGAGAGGGAAAAACACATACACAAATAACCAAAGAACCATACCATCTCTATAATAGTAAGAAAGAACAAATTCTATCTAGATATTCCTCATTTCACCAATATTTTTAGAAAAGATGGATATTAATTGTTAACTTTTAGCTCAAGTAAATTTTTCATTATTTGATAATATAATTTTAGACAATTTTTACTTTTATTCTTTTAAGAGGAGTGATTCTTAATAGTTCCTAACATTTCCTCATCCCCATTTTGCCAACAATCTCTCCCTCAGATATGGTGTGTGTGTGTGTGTGTGTGTGTGTGTGTGTGTGTGCTTTTAAGTAGTCTAGCGTTCACTTAAAAGAATTGACATCTTCTCTTTTTGGTATCTACTTTGGGGGTCACGAGTGATGGCAGAAAAAAAAGAGTATATAATTCAGTAATTTCTTCATCATCCCAGATATTATTAAGACATAAGCAATGTTAACTTCTAAAGCTTCAATAAATGCTATCTACACTTCTATCAAAAACTACAATTCCTTATATTTCTATGACATTCCTCCAAACCCAGCATTTCCTATGATTGTCTTTTAGAACTTCAACAAAATTTAATAGCAACTCTGCACACACTCACAGATGCTGATACAGGCACACATTTATGCTCAGGTGTGTGTACACACACATATACACACTCACACTTCTCCAGTCAGATATGTATGGGAAGCAACACAAGACAGTTGACTTTATTCAATACTTCTGAAGTCTTTAATACATGTCACATACTTTGTGAATGCCCAAGAAGCCAGTTATAGTACATATTGCTTTCCATAATTAACCATAATGTCCTTTTATTGAGACTACCTCAAGGGCCTCATTTTTCAGAAAGCACGGTTTTGAAAGCACTGCCTTAAATGACACCTAGACTATAATTTTTCAGAGCAGACTGCCATGTACACCCTACTCTCAAAGACAACACGAAATCATACCTATTCCAAGAAGTCTTTATAAAGTATTAAAAAGAAAGGCAAGAAACCTTTAAATCCCTTCTTATTTACTTTTAGCATCATATCTGAACATCCTGGAAGTGTTGTTGGACAGTGAGTTCAGTATGAATTAATAGGAGTGTGATGGAACTGCTGACAATAACATTAACAGAAACATTGTCAAAGACAAGAGTCAGAAAACTTTTCCCGTAAAGGACCAGATATTCAATATTTTAGACTCTATAGGGCATAGGGTCTCAGACACAAATACCTTCCCCAACTCCCCAACTACTTCCCCAGGTAACTGCAGGCAATACACAAACAAATGTGCAAGGCTGTGCTCCAATAAAACTTTATTAAAAAGAGAGAGAGAGCAAACTGGATTTGACCAAGGAGATAGTTTGTCAATTTCTAGTCTAGAAAAAAAATGAGATCATAAAGCTTTAAAAGTCTACACACAATTACATGTGGATGCCATGTTTTAAGAATGTCAAATAAGGCTGAGAAGGATCCTAAAAAGTATACTACATGAAACAGAGCTAAAGGTAATTTTAGGCAAAAGAGAGGGAAATACTCAGAGACAATAAATATACAGACGTTCATAATGTACACTATACCTAAATGACAGCTGTCCATCAAATACCTAAAGAGTTATTAGAAGAAAAACAACCCCGCAAACTGGAACTTATTATGCAAAGCAATAAAAAGACATTACTAGAAAATACACTTCAACTCATTATAAGTAAAATTTTCAAGAAATGTGAATAAAAAAGGTTACCTTGAATAGTAGAACCTTCTTCCTTAGTAGTTATTCAAGAATAAATTACATATGATTTTTTTCATGCTAGATCTCTCATAAAATTCAGTCCTCCATCAACACTCCAAAATTCAGTATCACCAGCTTCCTAGAACTGCCTAGTCACCTTATCTAGATAAGCCTTTTCAAGATTTGTAAAATCAGAAGCATTTTAAACTCGTTGTAAGAAATAAAATTTATATTGTACTTCAGTGCACCAATATAACACACACACTCATTTGTGCACATAAAAATTGAAACCATTTTTCAAGAAACAATCTTTACCCTTATTACATGTAACACATGCTACTATTTTCTATTTGATTCTGTTCTATTTAACTCCAGGGTTTTATCAAAAACAGTGAGCATGGCCCACCTAATTGATCTAATGTAAAGTGCAGTTCCAAAACATATCCATTGAGCCAAGGATCACTTCTGATGAAGATAACTACTATACCCACTCCTCAGTTATCAACATGGGTAGGTCCCAGAGACTAAGTCATTATGCAAAAATCAGCATTATGTGAAAATGTAGGTTGACCACTTCACATGACAAAATGAAGGATGACAACATCATTACATAACTGCCATAATACACAGTTGTGTAGCTTACAAATCTCTGAGAATCGTGTGCCTCGTGGACACATAACCTTAACCATCACAGGCAGCATTGCACTGTCCTTACACTTTGGAGTACATTATCAAAGGACGTGTGTTGTTAATGTGCAAATCAGACAGATTTTTTAACTATTGTGATAAATGTGAAATGTCACATAACGAGATGGTTGGTAAGTGAGAAATAGGTGTATTTTAATATATAAAAAAAGAAACTACAGTGTATAGGGTATTACTTCTTTTGACTTCAAGAAGATAAATATGGAGTTTATTTCTATTTATGCAGACACACATACACATATACACACACACAGGGACTTCAGAAAGTTCATGGAAAAATGTCACTAAGATAAGCGAATTTTTCCATGAACTTTTTTAAGTACTCTGTGTGTGTGTGTGTGTGTGTGTGTGTGTGTTCTGTGGGTCAAAAAAAATAATGGAGTGAGCCAGTCAGGGTGCAGTATAGCACCAATGAAACATACAACTTTCCTCTAGTTCTTTCATGCCTCTCCCTCACCACTATCATGACCCCAGTTCTACCTTACAAATCCAGCTAGACAAGAGCATGTACAC